GGGGGGGGGGTTGTGGTGGTAGGGGTAAGGGGATTAAGCAAGAAAAAGATTCCTATATTCATTTATGTTGACTCAACGGATGAGACTGTAAAGACGACTTGAAGCTCTTCAAATATGACGATCCCAAGTTTACATTTAGTCTTCTGCGTAGATTGTGGTCTTAAAATATTTTTTTTTTTTTAAGTTTAGGCAATGAAAGGAAGTAGTTATTAGTTGCAGGGAATCATGAATATAAGGAAACGGACAGTATAAACTCCTTACAGTCGTCTCTGAAGTCTTATCTTTTGTGGGTAACTCTGTAATATTACATATTTCATATTTCAAATTAAAGCAGATTTCACTCTGCTAGATTAAAATACAGGTTTTCAATGCTAACATAGATAGGTCACAAAGTCAATGATTTCTCCAAAATTAGACTTAATATGTATAAGAAGCACTAGCGGGAATTATGCCTATTTTTCCTTTCAATTTAAATCTTTGTTACACAACATAGATAATTTTTTGTACATTGTAAAAACGAGAAATGTTTTAGCTCAAAAATTTGTAAAAAATTAATTTGTTGATTGGTAATTCCATGTTTTTAGCTTTAAAATCTTTAAAATGTATTTAGATTTTACAGAACAACTCAGCCCTGTTTTCATTTTGAACTGACTTATTTTTAATTTTCATAATTCTGCGAAAATCGTGCAAAATCTTCGCTTTTAATATATTGAGTTGTTTTCTATTGTTCTCCAGATATTTGCACATTTTAGATTTTTCCTTTGTTCCTGCAGTTTTAAACTATACGATTTAGTTTTAGCTGGGATTTTCTTGACATTTTCTATGTATTGTCTTTTTGTCATTTCTTTTGTAATGTGTTTTGTTTGCAAACACGATGAGGAACTTTTGTATTGTTGATATCGAGATCAATGCTTGATTTCGATATTTGTTAGACTGCAGATTAATTAAAGTTTTTTCAAGATCCCGCATGGTAATCGTACCATGTCATGGGTTGAAGGGAGCTTAACTTATAACTAAAATTAAGATATGGAAAGGTATTGTTTTTAAGGTACCGTACCTTTGATCCTCAAATTAAAAGTGCCAACAGGGGATATCGAGATCAAACAATCGGGATTATAAGAATCCAACAAAAAAGTTTCCAGCTATGAAGGTGTAAATCTTATTTAATCTGAACAGACATCGTGATGTTGCAAAGATATGGTGGTATAAATATGGTGGTATAAAGATATTTTCTTCGCTGTTCAAAAATGTGCATTTACTAAAATATGTTTTTTTTTGTGTGTGTGTTTATTTAAACAAGTCATGGCTCATCAAATATTTTTTTCTTAAATTTTGACATCTTTCAAATTTTTGATCTTAATAACTAATTTATGTTGACATAATTTTCACAAAATACTATTTTTTAAAGATTTAGACAATAGAAATTATCAATAATTGTTATCAAATGAATTAAAAACGAATCTAGTTTTAAACGTATATAAAAGAAAATGGAAATAATTTCATAAATGCCTATATCACTAAATAAATTCTTGAATAGAATGTGCTGTTGTTATGAGAAAACGCCCAAAATAAACTGTTTTGAATTATGCTAGAATTGATAACATTATCTAAGGCTATTATTGGGACAATATAGGGCGTGTTGTGAAATAAATACATCTAAAAGAGTTGTTTTTAACTAATACGTTTTAAAAAAACTGTAGTTTTTATACAATGCATCATCATTAGCTTCATATAAATAAAAGCTTGTGGATACAAGATCAATGCTTGATCTCTTCTTTTTGTTAATCTTAAGATTATTTTAAGTGTTTAAATTTAATCAATCAGAGTGGTGTATGCAGAATACCTAACAGCCAATCAAAAGCCGGGAAATTTGAAATTTGCCCGCTATTTCATGTGAGAACTCTCATTGGTCGAAATTAAGGGTATCCTATTCTAAAGTTTTTTGGTCAGAGTTATCTCAAATTTTGTTATAAACATATAAACATGTTCTCATATTTTAACAAAATATTATTTCAAAATGCTGTAAGTCATTCTGAAAAAATGTCTTCCAAAAGTGCAAAACAATTAGATGAATAAAGGGCTTTGATAATTCAAATAGTAATAAAGTTAAAAAACATTAAAGGGACTGTAAGCGTAATTTCAAGTGACTCTCTGAGCAATATCCAATTTACATCGGTACCCTTACAAGTTTTGCCTAATCAAGATCCATGTTTTCTTCCAAGTGTCTTGTTGATAAGAAGCAATAAATAAACTTTTCCAGTAAGAAAAACGACGATATCTTCCACATTTTTTATTAGATTAATGTTTCAAGGGTACCGTTGTAAATCGGACATTGCCATCCTTTCATGGAGGGTCACTTGAAATTACGCCTAAATTCCCTTTAAGTAGAATGATTTAAAAAATTGTTTGTTTTAGGAAAGAAGAGTTTTGTTGGATCCTGATCAAGATTTGAACAGATCAACACAATCCCTTCTACCTGGAGAGGGGGAGGGCTGGAGGGAAGGGGGCGGAGCTGCCGAGGGGCGGGCGACTTTCCCCCGCACCCAGTCCGTCACAGTTTTAAATCATACAACAGCTAGGAATAATGTGGAGGTAAACATTTTTTTAAAACTTTAAATAAGTCGCCATTTCTAATTTGTGAACTAAAATAAATTAAACAGTCACAGTTAGGAAATGAGTTTTTAACACAAACTAAAATTTTCTCATCCCTATATCTTTGCAACCTGATGGTGTAAACCTTTGATATTTAAAGCTTAGACTATTTGGTTTTATAGAATTCATTGTTAGAGATATCAAAGGTCTACACCATTGGGTTCAAAAGAAACAGGGATTCGAAAATTAGAGTTTGTGGTTTCGGTAAAATTTTCTCGTTTGTACAATGCGTTGAAAGGTTTAAATTGAAATAAGAAGAACAAATGTTTACAAAATGAACTCCATTGGAATGACGTCACATATTTCCTGTTCTAGAATTTCTAATAATCGCTATTTCTCCGAATTTTTTATTTTAAAAGATTTGATTTGAAAATTGAATTTGATAAAGCTGAATGTTTACACTTCACATCTCATATATCCTATATTATGTCATCATTGAACATCTCATCTATCCTATATTATGTCATCATTGATATTTGTTTATATTTAAAAAGAAGATTTAATGAGATCGTTCATATATAAAAAAAGATTTATTTGTCATATTTTCAACCTAGTTTAGATGCATAGTAACAAAAAACGAGACCACAATCGCTCTCAAACCATTTAAAAAAATACATTTAGAACTCTTTAAATCTGTTTAGCTGTTGTTTATAAATGTTAAGTATTCAATGTTCAGGGTTCAGGTCATTTCGTGTCAAACACGTGGAGAAAACTTAACATTTAATCTTTTAAAGGGACAGTATACGTAATTTGAATGGCATGTCTGATTCTTAGCGGTGCTCTGTAAAGTAAACCTTCAAAAACGAACGGGGAAAAAGTTCAAAATACATTTCGTTAAGTTTTTTATCCTTTATATTTTCATCATTTATATTTGTCTAAAGCAAAATTACATTAAACAATATTAAACTAATACTCTTTTCTGGATATCGCATTTTATAATTGACAGGGTTTGCCAAGAAACAGGTGAAATACAAGACTTTTAGCATGAGTATAGTTTAGTTATTCAGATATGGTTTTCGGAAATGGAGTTTCTTGGTCCCAGTCTAGTGTTTTTCGTTTTCTAAAAATATGGTATTTTTCCTATTCTTTAACGTAAAAATGTGTTTAAAATCGATCATGTCCAGTCCATATATATATATATATATAAGTGTATACTTAAATCAATACAAGGTCTTGCCTTGTTTATGTTTACTCTAGAAAATTGCGAAAGCTTTCTTTTTTTTGCAAACAACACATATCTGCACATTTTTGCAAACTACACAGATCTGCATAATTTAAGGCAGATGGGGGGGGGATGTAACACTTACGTTTTTTGTTTTAATTTAAATTTTTAACTATTGGGATAAAACAGGTCTTACTCTCAAAAAAAGTTTTATCATTTTGAGAGAAATTGCATCCAATTTTGAATTGCGTCCATATTGCTTATAAATGTACAATTGGATTGGTAGTGCTAAATAAGTCTGATTTTCTTACATTTGTGGATTTAAGATTCAATTATGACATTCCAGTTTACTATAAACAATAGCGTATTAAAAATGTAGATGGAATTTTGTTTATTTACAATTGTGTATTTGAAAGGTATAATGGCGTTCAATTCACTTTTAATTATGTATTTTATGAAATGTAAAATGGCGTTGAATTTATATTGAATTGTATCATTAAAATGCCGCAAATGCTGATTCTCCTTGATACTTAGGTTCCAGAAAATCGTCTTCAGCTACTAAGTCCTCATCAAACTAGAATTAGAGACTCAATGGAGAGAATAAATGTTCCTTCATGGTAATTTTTATTAAATAAATGTTACAGATATCTAATATATTGTTCGAATGGTCTATTCAATGTTAAATAAACTTATAGCTTAATGCTAATTTTGACTTAAGTTCGTATATTACTGTTTGAATCAGCTGATGTGTGACATGTTAAAAATGTTAACATGTTGATAGCATGATGTTATTCTTTTATTAACAAATTATTTTTTAAAAAGTTGTTATGCCTAAAAGGTTAATATAGGTAAATTGTACAAAATTATTTTAACAGTTATAATTATATTTGTCATGTTTCCAAGTGCTTTAGATTGTTTGTGCTTTTAAACATGTAAATTGATTATTTGATTGATTGGTTGATTGAGTATACTTGATTGTATAAAGCGATTGAATGATTGATTTTTAATGTTGTCTTCAGGTTCTCCCAGCGACCAACAGATGGAGTTGATTCCAGTTCACCGGCCCTCGCCTCTAGGCGCAGTACGGCAGGATCTAGAGCAGGGGGATGGAGACGTCACGTGACAGGGAAATCAGCTGTTCCACCCACCCCCACAACAGTTGATCATAGCAGGTATGGTTGTTATAATAATAATAATAAGGGTTTTCAATTTGTGACCATTTTATTGTTATATCCCGGCTGACCACATTGCTGTCCTGACTGTCCATTTTCTTGTCCTGGATGTACATTTTCTTGTCCTGGATGCACATTTTCTTGTCCTGGATGAACATTTTCTTGTCCTGGATGCACATTTTCTTGTCCTGGATGAACATTTTCTTGTCCTGGATGCACATTTTCTTGTCCTGGATGAACATTTTCTTGTCCTGGATGCACATTTTCTTGTCCTGGATGAACATTTTCTTGTCCTGGATGCACATTTTCTTGTCCTGGATGAACATTTTNTACAATATACAATATACAATATACAATATACAATATACAATATACAATATACAATATACAATATACAATATACAATATACAATATACAATAAACAATACACAATATACAATATACATATACACTATACATATACACAGTTAATAGTTAATAGTATATATGCTAGTGTCTCCTACTTAAAGGAAAAATTTCTTTAATTATTATTATTCAATTATTGACAAATCAATTATTTTAAGATTCTGAAGCCATTAAATCAATGCGTGCATTTGAATTTTTTTTATCTGAAACAGATATAGGGTTACCCACAACAAATGAGACTGTAAAGACGAACCAAAACTCTTGAAATATGACGTTTTTTAGTCGCTGCCTTAGTTTATTATTTAATTGATTTTCCATTGTTTTAAACAATTAAGCACTGAAACAAACCGTTTTATCCCTCAATGTAAGAAAAGGGACTGTTCACAAATTCTTCACAGTCATCTCTAAAGTCTCATCCTTTAAAGGGGTAACTCTGTACTTATTTTATCTGTGATTCAACAATTTATTTCTTAGATCCCGATGGACGTCTAAAACCCTTCCTTTATCCTACAAGACGGCCTCCTTTACGTCCTTGAACTCTACCCCGACCTCAACCCCGTCCTCCACCCTCACTAGGAAACCGTATCTGGGCTGGAGATCACAGGTAAATAATGTCATCTTCACAACAAAACGTATTATGACAAAATGTCGTCTTCCTGATGTGCATTTTAGATTTGAAACTTATTTTTTTCTTGAATCCTTTTAGCCCTTAATGTAGAATGAATTTTCAATATTTATTTATCTATTTATTTACTGATTTTTATGCAATCAATTGTTTACATTATAAATTCTCAACCTTAACATCAATGTTTTCAGGAACGCCTTGATATTGGGCCCGCCTATCTTGCCACGCCCACTCAGCGCCTAGCCAGCACCGCCACATACACCAATCTCCCGCCCCCTCCCCCTAGATCCAACACCCTGCCTCCCTCTGCCCGTGTTGCCTTGAGTAAAAACATTAAACAAGTCTCAGAGGAAATCATTGATTATTGTAAAACAGAGTCAGGTAAGAAGACTCAATGTCGTCTTCTGTGGAAGGTTTTAAATCTCTTAAATTAAATACAGGCTAACCCGCATAGCATCAGACTTCAGAGACAACTGTACAAAATTTATTCATTCTTCTTTCATACATTCATGGTTTTTTATTGACAAATCATTTAAAACCCCATTAAAAGACTTTATTTAACATTTAGCTCCTCAATTCAGATAATCAGTTAAAAATAGTTTAAGGTCGACATTAAAATGTCATCCATTGTGGAGAACCCTGTAGATTTGTTTACGACAAAGTAAATAATAATTTATATTTCAGACTCGCCCAGTAGCCGAGAAACCACGCCCATGAGTTCTAGTCCCGCCCCATCCTCCCCAAGCCCACCGCCTAAACCTATGGAGGCGTGGTCTGACACTCCTATGCACAGCAATGGGCGTAACCATATGATTTTTGCGTGAAGGAGAAACCGTGATTATTTTCAGACTATTTCTGATGTCGACTTTTACTAAACATTTTAAAAGAAAAAACTCGTTAATCAGCAAATTGCTGTGTTGTTATAAAAATTAAAAAATTTTCGTTTCATATTATTTTGATTGTTGTTAAATTTTCATTTATTTGCTTTCATATATATATTTAACTAAACAACGATAAAAAACATATTTTTTTTACGACAGAAAAGTAAATTATTATTTTTCAAAAATGTTTTTAACATATACAACTAATCTATATTGTCATATTAATATTTGCCATTTTTCACACTTTCAAGATTTAATATTCAGCATTTCAATTATCAAAAATTAAATTTGAAAAAAATTAACACGAAATAGCAAAAAATATTTAAAGGTTTGAAATTTGGATTTACTTTTTGTGCATCGCATTTTGACATAATGCTACAGCATGGAGTACAACAGCAAAGTGACGTCATTGGACCGCTGAGGGTTGTAAACAATTGTACAATGTACCATGATATTCCTTTGTAAAGAGCTGGTTTTAACATTGACCTGAGCTGGGAACTCATGTACTGTGGATATCGAGATCAATGATATGAAATGAAATGAAGAGATTAGTCATTGATCCTCAAATTAAGAGTGCCCGCAGAGTATATAGACTATCGAGATCAAACAATCGGGATTATGGATTTCCAACAAATAAATAAGAGGAATTCAATTAAAATGTATTGCATAACAAAATAAAATCAACTATTTATAGAGAAATTAATGGACTATATTTATAGAGAAATTAATGGACTATATTTATAGAGAAATTAATGGACTATATTTATAGAGAAATTAATGGACTATATTTATAGAGAAATTAATGGACTATTTATTGTCTGCAAGTTAATTTGTAATCTTTGATATTATAAAGAAAATTTACTGTTCTTCAGCTTTGTAGACGTTTATAAATTAATAAATATCTAATTTAATCATTTATTATTTTATTATAAGGAGCCACGTGGTCACACAGTTGTATCAGTAAAACCAAACTAGGAGACAATATTTGATAAATGAAGGCGAAGACGACATTTGTCTAAAATACAATGGTCCGCAGAAAAACAAGAAAAAAGACAATATTTGTTAAATAATACAGCAAATATTGGAAAACAAAGAAGATATTTGTAAAAAATACAGTAGTCCGCAAAAAAAGTGGAAAACGAAGACGACAGTGGTCCGTCGCAAATAATGGAAAATAAAGACGATTTTTCAAAAATAAAAAATGAAGACGACATTAGTAAAATACAGTTGAAAAACGAAGACGACGTTTGTTGAAACATACAGTGGTTCACAGAAAAAGTGGAAAACGAAGACGATATTTACAAAAACTACATTGGTCCTCAAAAAACTGGGAAACGACGAAGACGACATTTGTAAAAAATACAGTGATCCACAGAAAAAGTGGAAAACGAAGACGACATTTTTTAAAAATACAGTGGTCCGTAGCAAATAATGAAAAATAAAGACGATTTTTCAGAGAAAGCAACAAATTTAAAGTTAAAGGGAAATATGAATGTAAGAATAGAGATTGAGTTAAGTAATTAAAATTGTCATATCATTTGTTTCTTAAAAGAGTTTCAGTCTAAATTTAAGGAAATAACCACTTGCCACAAATTCTTATTTTATAATCCCAATAACTTTTCAACCTGATGTTGTAGATCTTTCAAATTATGAATTTTGTTAAACCAAACAGTCAACTTAAAATTCAGTGATGGTGATGGACCAAACCTCTGTAGAGTAAAAAAGTAGATGTTAGTTCCACATTTATTGAAAATATATTTCGGTCTGGGTTCAACGTCAATGGTGTTCAACATCAAGTTTCAAAGATTTATAGATTAGAATATTAGAGCTTATGGCAATATTCAATTAGTGTCTATAGAGAGAGACTGTCCCTTTGCGCTCGAATTCTGAACGAAAAATCGGCTTTTTCTTCGGCCACAGTTGTCTTTGAAAAGTAAGACTATTACCAATTAAGAGCGAATAGGCTGTTTAGTTTACCCTGAAATTACCCAAATAAGTGAACGGTCCCTTTAAGCTTAAAAAGAATTTCAGTGGTTCTACTTAGTTCTTAAATCAAAATTTGTTGAAAAATTATCTCGACTACATTTACATCAAATTTAATTTTTTTTGTCCATGCATGATGTTTTGTCACCTTTTATATTAGATGAGTAGTTAAAGTATTTTTACTTCTTGGTAATATTGATATTCCTGGTACATCAGGCCTTTAGGTCATGCACTGGTTTAGTTGCTTTAGGTCATGCACTGGTTTAGTTGCTTTAGGTCATGCACTGGTTTAGTTGCTTTAGGTCATGCACTGTGCGACAACAAAGTTTTATTTCCATTAGACATCCTTGTCAGTTGTCAAGATTCTGTTCTAAGCAAATTGATTTCTTCTAAGGAATTAAGTCTTTGCCACAAACTCAGATTTTCTAATCCTTATATCATTGCAACCCAATTTAAACTATGAATCCGTTGATAAAATAATCTATAAGTTTAAAAAATCAAAAGTTTACAGTGTAAGGTTGCAAAGATTTAAGAATTAGAAAGACGCAATTTCTTTGGGGAGTGGAATAATCGTTTATAAGAAATTTTTATTTATTTACATCAATGCCGTTGAAAGAAACCTATACTTCAGTAAAAATACGGAAAATGAGATTTAACATTTCTTCTTGTAATCTTAAAAAACCTTCCCTAGGATGTTCGCTATTTTAAAACCATTTTTCTAAAATTAGATCTTGCTTAAAGTTAGAATCTCGGATCAAATTTAGATAAACGAATTAACCCATAAAGAGGCGGGTTCAGAATTGTTACAAAACTTCGTCATGAAAATGGGCTTTCTTAAAGATATCTGTTAAAGTTGGTTCCTTTAATATCAAAACTAAATGAACTTGAAACTTTGTCGGGGATTTTTCTTGAAAACAAATGATTTGTTAAATGTAAATTCAACAAAAAATCAAAAATAAATGTAAATATTTCATGTTTCTAAATCTAGTCTGTTTAACTAATTTGCAATTGCTGAGACTTATCTTATTTAATATCGAAACGAACAATATCAAATTTTCTAAAGAGAACTGGTAAGTAATTTTACGCTAACAATGTGCACTATATTAGTTAAAATACAAATGTTTGAACAATACTTAAAAGAACTGTAAGCATGATTTTTCAAGTGAACATAATTGCGAAGATCAGTGCTCGATTTACAACGGAAGATATTATCGATTTTCTAGATCAAAAAGTGTTTATTTCTAATAATTCCTACATTTTATCCTGCAGTAGAAATGAGCAAGTCAATTTTGTAGAAAACCTGCACAATTGAAAATAATTCGTTTTTTTTTAATTATAAACACTGATATCATACTTGATCAGACAAAGCTATTAAGGATACCGTTATTAATCGGACATTATATCTTTCCATGAAGGTTTGCTTTAAATTACGCGTACAGTCCCTTTTATATGGAAAAGTTAGAGAAAAAACCTTATCTTCCGGTAGAGGGGGACTGTGACCTCACAAATCAATTTAAGACTTTAAAAAGCTGCTGCAGTGCTGAATTGCTAAGATATGCGGATAATAATTAAAAAGTAATATTTGTATAAAATAAAAAAGAGCTTTTTTAGGTTTAAAAACTCTTAATGTAATAAAGAACTAGAAAGTTTATTTTACCGATCAAGGTGTTCCCATGTACGAAAATAAGGGTTTGTGAAAATGTGAATATTACTCCTTTAAACACAATCTTGTCACAATATATATGTGTTCACCATCTTCCATCTACCCCATTCAATACTCTATATCCTGTCATTGGACGATTAATAAGCGACGAGTTCTAAAATTTGTCTTACTAACATTTAACCTTTTTATATACAATGAATCATACATTATATCAGTAGAGATGGGCGCGTTCGTTTTTTTCATTTCGTTAGTTCATAAATTTGATTTCGTTCGCTGTCAAAATTATCTTTCATTTTCCATCAATTTTGTTCGTATCGTTTTTTTCAGAAGTTTAATAGAAAAAATCTTTCATTTCCATTTGGTTTTTATGCGTGCGTTTCATTTTTCTGAACAATATCATTGTTCACGAAAAGTTTTGTTCGTTCTTAGCAATTTCGTTCACAAAGACGATGTCCATCTCTTGTTATAGCTGTAGGGACGAATAACTTTATTCTTGTTAAATAAAATTGTTAACGTTTCGTCAACGACGGCAAAAAAATCCATTCGGAAAAAATAAAATTTGAATGACCATAAATCAATATTAAAACGATTTAAGGAAAAATTTCTCTATTATTTTTCATTTGACAGAAAACATATGCTAAAAAACGATCCAAAATGATTTTAAAACGAAGTTGTTATAACGATCGTTTTTGGATCGTTTTTCCATTTTTTTTAGGATAAAGATATTGCAAAGTTTAATAAAAGAAAATTAAACAATTTGATACTTTTGATAGAATATTATTAAGGTAATAATTGGTTATTAACAAGAATGTAGAAGGATCAGTGACATTATTTTTTTCTGTTCGGCTTATTTGTGATAAGATTTATCGTTTATCGTTTATCAAACTATATCTTTTTGCAAAGTTTTAAAGAAAAGTTTTCTAAAATAAAAATTATGAAAATATTGAACAGAATGTTAGGGATTTCAGACATTCAATTATATCCCATTGCATGCTGTTTGTGAGATTTCTATACAATAAGGTCCAAGCACCATAGTAGATCTATACAAGAAGGTCCAAGCACCATATTAGATCTATACAATAAGGTCCGGTACCATAGTAGATCTATTTAAGAAGGTCCAAGCACCATAGTAGATCTATACAATAAGGTCCAGGCACCATAGTAGATCTATACAAGAAGGTCCAGGCACCATAGTAGATCTATACAAGAAGGTCTAAGTAACATAAACATATAGAGAAGAAGGTTCAGTGCCGGACAATAATATATCTAAATAAGAAGGTCCAGGTTCCAAGGACAATACTATATCCACACAGTAAGGTCCAGGAACCATGTAGTATGTCAACAGAAGAAGGTCCAGGGACCATTATGATCTACATAAGAAGATCCAAGGCTCATCTATAACAAGACATTCATATATATGTTGCGTATAGCCAACCAAACGGCTGGACCGAATGGGCTGAAATTTTTTGTGGGCCATTTTTTGCCTATAACCCCCGTGTTATAGGCCAACAAAAATTTCGTCAAAATTTTTTTTTCCGATATTTGGTAATGTACCATATTACGGCTAACGGTATTAGTCCGGGTCGGAGCCGCTGATTATGAGGGGGGGAGGTGGGGGGAACAGCTGATTTAAATATCCCAGTTTCTCCCTTTATTGTTCTCTAAAAATACCTGTTTCCCTTTTCATCTCTTTAATTATCCCTGTTTCTCCTTCTAGATCTCTAAATATCCCTGTTTCTCTCTCTTTATCTCTAAATATCCCTGCTTCCCTCTAATCTCTCTAAATATCCCTGTTTCCCCTTCATCTAGCTTTAAATATCCATGTTTCTCTCTCTCTATATCTCATCTCTAAATATCCCTGTTTCCCTTTTATCTCTTTAAATATCCCTGTTTCTCTCTATATATCTCTAAATATCCCNCTCCAGTTTCTTTATCTATGGTTGCCCGCTTTTCTCTGATCGGCTGCTACAGTTTCTCAGATGATTAAATATTAATTTGAATTTTATCGTTTTTCATACACTTTTAAGATAATCTTGCAAGATTATGTTAATCTTGAGATGATCAAAAAGAGAGGATAAAAGCATTAATCCCGATATCCACCATTCTAAAGTTTTCAGCTCTGCTCCGGTATATCGGAGACAGTAGTCGGCCCATCCAACATCTGTATTTAGGTGTAGCCGTGAAATGGTAAATTACCGGTTCAGCCATTTTGACGTTTATTGGATACAAACAGAGGGACAAAGAAACAGACAGACACCCACCCAGACAAGCAAAGTATATATATTATCATTATTATAGATTTATTTCGTACACATAACGGTACAATAGATTATTAAGACTACAATATAGATTGCTCCCTTTTTTGAAAGGTTGTACTTTGCATGCAAAACAACAAAAGTAACTAAATAAAATCAAGAACGAAATTTTAATCCCGATCGGTTAAAACCAATTTGTAAAACAAGAAAAGTAATTTTACAAAATATATACAAAATATCTATACACTATTTACAGTAACAAAATATATACAATATATACATAATATAGGTTTCTTTATATTTTCTTGTATATATATTTTTTATTCATATATATATACATTTATTTATATTTAATCAGAGATTTTATAGATTTACAGATTTAAGTAAAATTATCTAATTGCGTCAGTTATGTAATACTTTTTTTTGAAAGACTTAACAAAGGAGGAGAAGGGGGGAGGGGGGATTGGGTTCCCAGAAAACTAGATGTCCTTTGTTTAAGTAATCTGTACAACAGGACTGAATTTAATGAATTGAACAGGAAGCTGAACTACCTAACGCCGGTTCAAATCCTGAATCATTGGTTGAAAGCCTCATGAATCTTTCACCTCAAAGGGACTGTAAAGGAAATTTGAAAGGCTTAAACCTGAGAATCTCAGGAGTTGATGGAGGTCTATAAGACATCTATCTGATGTTCCTGTCTTGATACATATATATATATTTATATACATATATACGTTTTGGTATAATTTTGACACAATTTTATATCAATTTCTCGAGATAAGAACATCATATAGAACTCTTATAGGTCTCAATCAGTTCCTGAGATTCTCAGGTTTCAGCCTATACCCCCTTTCCTTTACAGTCTCTTTAAGTCGAAAATTCAAGATTTGATTTGGCCGTGGGTAGTTTATCGATCTAGCTCAATTTCTTCAAATTCGGCCCCCGTAAAAAAATTTATAAATTAAAACTATATTGTAATAAACAAACTATTTTATTGAATAAAATAAAGACGCTTACCTCCCCCCCCACTCCCTATTAAGAAGTGGGAAGTGAGGGGGGATGGTTAGGAACGATAATTGGTAAAAGGAGAACAATAGGGGGAAAATCAGTAAGTCGTATTTCAAGAATGATTAAATTATTATTTTTGGATAATTTTGTACTTGCCTGTTATGTTATGATAATCTATCAACTATCTTTCTATCAAGAGATCTTTACTCGTCTAAATCTAAACCGCAACTGCTACTGCGCTGTTGTAAACTTGTAACTTGTACCCGACTAGAAACTTGTGGATTTGTTGGGTCCCCCCCCCCTCCCTTCTTATATATATCAGCTGATCTAGATGCTGATACAGACAAAGAAAGCAGTCGCCCCATGTGAAAATAATAATTTCTCCAAAAAAATGCTTTACAATTATTTTTGAAAAATTTAAATAATTTGTCTGCATCTTATTTAGCCATTTTTTAAAGTGTGAAAATGATTTATCCCTTTGGGTTGCTAACTGCAGGTTTATCTTTGTAAATTCATATGTAAGGGTTACCCTGTGAGGGGGTTACCCACAAAGGATGAGGAGAATAAGACATCAGAGAAATTCATGCAGTAGCTTTTTACTTGCATTTATATTGCCCTACAGCGGTGTGATTTTTACTTTGCCAACTCTTATATTTTGTTAGAAACTCGTATATAATTCAGGTAGGTTAATTCAGGTAGGTTAATTCAGGTAGGTTAATTCATACAAGTATCATCCTTTGTGGGTAACCCTGTATGTGTCATTCATAAATTGTAAAAATGTTGTAATTCGAACAGAAGTCTTTCTTGGATTTGAGGAATAAGTATAAGACACAAAGAAAACGATGTGAGATGTAAAACTTTGAATCTTTTAGAGAAAGTCGCAGGAAAAATATTTATAAAAACCAAGATAATGAAAACTTCTAAATCCATCTTGTCCCAAGAGAAAATGAATTTCTCATTAAACAAAATGTTGTATCATATATGTGCGATATCTATTAAAATTCCAACCCTATCAATAAGCAAATATTAGATTTAAGCCTGTTTTTAGACAATTCACATTTGTAATTATTAAAGATAAAATAAAATAAAGCTAAGATTTAAAATTTTTATTAATTTTGGAAATTTTAAAGGTTATTTGTGGGGGGGGATTTTTGAGTTTTTAACCAAATAAAAATAAACTGACTGAATTAAAAGCTATATTTTAAACTTAAAATTGAGAATTTTAGCACAGAAACAAGAGAACAAAAACATTTAAATCTTATTCTAGATAGAACACCGACAATATCTTATAATAAGGTTTTAATGGTACCGTTGTAAACTGTGCATGATCAACCTAAAAACTTATAAATAACTTTTTAAAAGTTAAGTCTCTTTAAAAAGGAAAAAAATAGTTTAGATAAGTTTGCTAATTCTTTATTAAATTGTTTGTCATTTTCAAGATATTCAGATACTTTAGACCTTAAGCGTTTCTTGGTAATAATTTTAACTGTGCATGAACTGTTGCTTCACAGTCACCATTTTAATCATCTTTATCCAATAAAACAATTTTTTGCGAGGGATTTTCTGTTCAAATTTAAGATTTTTTTATAAGAAAGTCAACATTTGCATCTTTAACCATCCATAAACCTTCCCTGAGGTCATGAGAACTTTGGCCCGATGGGTTTAGCCGTTTTTACGTTTATTTGATACCAACGGACAGAAAAAAACATAATTGATATGATTCAGAATCCCAAAAGTGATTTTCCCAAAATTCAAATGTCTTTAAAAAAAGAATAATGTAAAGTTTTGAACGATTTTCTTAATCGAATGCTGCATATCTAACTAAGTAGTATAACAAATACAAAAGTTCTCATCCAAGCAACATTTGGAAGGTGATGCCATACTAGGGTTTATAGCGAACGAAACGTTTCGCAAAAAAATGCGAATATTTTCGGTCGCATTTTGCAACGTTTTTCGCGAAATTTCGCAATTTTTTTCGCAAAAATAAATGAAGAGAAACGAAGCGAAATTTCGCGAACATTTTCTTCGCGAAAATGCGAAATGCAAAAGTTTCACAAAATGTCTTATATGTCTCCTAGTAGTTTTTAAATCTATAATTATATTTTGGGTTAATCCATCAATTGGGCTCGCTGATAAATCCCTCTTAGAAAATTAATTTTTTTTGATGAATTTTCGTAACTTCGCCAACATTTTGCATCTGTTTTGAATAATTCTGTATTTTTCGCATCATTTTCGTTTGAACCTACGGCTTTTGAAATCAGAGAAACATAGGAGAAAACAGTGCTTTAATAGAAAATCAATTGAATACTTTCTTAATAGTTTTCAACATTATCTATATGATTTTACTTTTTTAACTGTTTATTTTCTATTATATACATTAAATGTGTGATTTAAGGTTCTAAAACTTCTTAGACATAAGTCTGAGCTTGTTCTGGAAGTTTACAAAGGGGCAATCAGCCTCAGTAGCAGCACAGTACATGTTGTCGGCACAGCAGAACCAGTCATATTCTGGGCAGCATCCGGCAGGGCAAGGGGTTCCATCACATGGCTCTTTCTTGGCAGCCATCTTTGCAGCACAGTACATGTTGTCGGCACAGCAGAACCAGTCATATTCTGGGCAGCATCCAGCGGGGCAAGGGGTTCCATCACATGGCTCCTTCTTGGCGGCCATCTTTATCAAAGCCTTCTTGGCAGCAACAAAGGGACAGTCAGCCTCAGTGGCGGCACAGTACATGTTGTCGGCACAGCAGAACCAATCATATTCTGGGCAGCATCCAGCAGGGCAAGGGGTTCCGTCACATGGCTCCTTCTTCAGAACAACTTTCTTGGCAGCAGCCATCTTGATAAGAGTTCTCTTGGCAGCAACAAAGGGACAGTCAGCCTCAGTGGCGGCACAGTACATATTGTCAGCACAGCAGAACCAGTCATATTCTGGGCAGCATCCAGCAGGGCAAGGGGTTCCATCACATGGCTCCTTCTTGGCGGCCATCTTTATCAAAGCCTTCTTGGCAGCAACAAAGGGGCAGTCAGCCTCAGTAGCAGCACAGTACATGTTGTCGGCACAGCAGAACCAGTCATATTCTGGGCAGCATCCAGCGGGGCAAGGTGTTCCATCACATGGCTCTTTCTTGGCAGCCATCTTGATCAAAGCCTTCTTGGCAGCAACAAAAGGGCAATCAGCCTCAGTAGCGGCACAGTACATGTTGTCAGCACAGCAGAACCAGTCATATTCTGGGCAGCATCCAGCAGGGCAAGGGGTTCCATCACATGGCTCTTTCTTGGCAGCCATCTTGATCAAAGCCTTCTTGGCAGCAACAAAGGGGCAGTCAGCCTCAGTAGCGGCACAGTACATGTTGTCGGCGCAGCAGAACCAGTCATATTCTGGGCAGCATCCGGCAGGGCAAGGGGTTCCATCACATGGCTCCTGAAGCTTAATGCTGGCTGCCTGTGAAAGAGCCAGGACAGCTAAAAAGGATATACACTGTAATACCTTCATGTTTGCAATGGTAAACCAAAGACTAACTAATATTAAAGCTTATCAAGCTTTTATTCATTTGCATTGTTTGTTTAAACTTAATTGCGTCTGTACAAAAGTAAATACAGATATCTTTTATCTTTTGTGACCTTCCCATGTTAAAAACAAAATTGTTTAATTTGTCTAATTTATATTATGATTATACAAAACTTTAATTGCACAACATCTAAATATCAAGAATCTAAACAAAAAAATTATAATTAGTGTTCAAATCTTCAGATACTATTGAAAAATTTCCATGAGTATTTTCATCCTTTTTACTGGATTCTTACAGAACTCTGTGATTATACACCTCCAGTCTAGGGCTCAGCACATTCTGGATTGTTATGACTGTTTGTTCCATATTTGGTAATTAGACCCTTGAGGCGGAACATTTGTTGCACAATTGTTCCATGTTTGTTCCATACAAAATCATTCCATTTAAAAAATGGTCATGACGTTTGTTAACGTTTAGGTGATTAATGATGGTTTATTGTTAACTATAACTGATTGTTAACATTGAGTAATTGTTAACTCAAAAAAAAAACATCATATCAAATGAAATGTTCAAGATGTTAAATGTGATTGTGATTTCTTCTAAAATTAAAATATTTAAAGAAAATATTTGGACAATTTTTGTTACATTGTTTTTTTGAGCTTTTTTATCATTATCACATGAAGATTGTTAATGAGAAAAAAAGCTAGTTTTTCTGCTCAAAAATCGGGTTTTCAACATTCCTTAAATTATGATCTTTAAAATTTTTCAAAGACAAATTCAAACTGCATTTGTAAATGCTTTCTTAAGCTGTGGTCGTTAACCAAAAATTACCATTCCCCATTAACAGGACCCAGCCCTACTTCAAACTTGTTTCTGTATGGTCTTTCAATATTCACCAGTGCTTAACATTAATACACAATTACTAATTGAAAGATTTCTTTTTGTAGGAATTGGGGTTCAATTCTGTCAAGAATTCTTCTTATGTGTTTTATGCCTTTAGCACTAAATGAAGGTAAAATGAGTAGAAGTGTTCTGAATATTTAAAACTATTTTCTTTTTTAGGCAAGATATGGCTTAGGGAGCTTGTGAACATTGGACTAAGCCAAGCCTACATTTGTTGCATAAATGTGCTGGGTCCAATGCACACTGGGTACACTCGTGTTACTTTGATTACACTAGACCTGTAAATTCTATAGGACGGATTATGCCAAAAAAATAAAAAGTTAATGCTGACAAAAATTCGAGAAACATAAAAGAATATATTAAACATTGAATGAGGTAAGGTATAAAAACAGAACAAAATAAAAAAATTTAATTCTGAAAAGAAATTAAAAAAACATAAAAAAAATATTAAACATTGAATGAGGTAAGGTCTAAAAACAGTACAAAAAAATTCTTGAAACTTTTCAGATGTTATCAGTGTGTTTTCATGCTCTAGCTCATTCAATTTAAAACATTTTCAAAATTCTTTTTTAAATTTCAATTCAACATGAAAGGAATTGTGTCTTTTCCACAAACTCTGATTTTCTTGTTAAAAAATTAAAAGTGTTGTTTGTCTTATATATTTTTGTTAAATAGAAATTATTAAAAGTACAAAATGCTAATGTCTAGAATCTGTATAAACTCAATTAGGGTTCAAGATCTTTATAATCATAGGAGAATTCTCTTCACCATGTTCACCACTATCATTGGATCTTCCATAATACTCTTCAATAATAGACTTCAAAACTTGTGTATCTGTTTCCATATGCCCCAGTGCTAAATATTGATTTATTGATTAATATGAAAACAAATTGCTGAAAAAAATTAATTTACCTATGTAAGGATTGGTTCCAGTAGTGTTCAAATATATCTGTAAGGGCAGATTGTTGCTGTCTCTGAGGTCAGGGTGAGAAGAATTCTGTCTTGGCAAATTTCCTAGTTTTTTATCTAAACCAAAAATATTTCTTCATAATAATTTTAACTTAATCACTATAGGGTGCCCCCCCCCCCCTTTTCATTAGACCAAAATAGTCAGCTTTCTATTCTGGCTGGATTATAGTTAACTGAATAAATCTGTTCTGTAGTTCAGCAGAATATTTGGTTCCTAGGGCAATATTTAGCTGGGTCAGCTCATGGATTCTTTCATCTGGGTATTTTTGTATTTATTTTTTACAACAAAATTACGCTAGAATGTATAACTTCAATCTTGAACCAGATTTAATGGACAGCAAGACTTAAGTCATCTGCATAAATTGCTCCTCGTAAACCCGGCCTAGAAATGCTTAAAGTGCAGGGTGTCCCATGAAACATGACAGTTGGTGAATAGTTTTGAATGTCTTTCGTATCAAATATTAGACGTTAAAGACTTTTTTGCAGTTTATTTAGTTTTAAACAAATTTTACACAAATATAAACTTTGAAATACCATTAAATATTTTGTGTATCATTATGAAAGAAGACATTTAAAACTATTCACCAACTGTCATGTTTCGTGGGACACCCTGTTTGTTAACAAATCTTGAATATGTCTTACTATTCAAATATCTGGTCATAGATGTTTTGCTTTTTATAAAAAAACTGTTAAATGTTTATCTATTAATAAATAAATAGCGTAAATTCCCATTTTCCTATTGTACTCTGCCACTCAACCAAGGTTCCTAAAAATTTTGCAAAGGTTCCCGCAAGTTCTATTTCAGAGCCTGACAAGGGAACTTCTAGATTTATATCTAAAACTAAATATGGTTAGATTGATAGGACTTATATTCATTTTTTATTCTTAAAGGGAGTGACCGGCAATGTATGGCAGTTAAACTGAGAATGCAGTATTGTGGATACAATTTTTCAGGATTCATTTGAGACAGATGAGACGTTTTAAGAGCGCAAATTCAATCTTTAAAATCCTCATAGACTGTTTATTTTTGAGAGATGATTTTGAGTTATAAAAAATTATTCAATAACAACAACGAAAAAAGTAGTAAACATTTTACAGTAAACTAATTAGTTGTTTAGGAACATGCTGAGAAAATAAAAAAAATTATTATCATCGAAAATAAGTAATCCAATTCAGGTATTGGTTTCTGTAATGTCTCAATGATCACCAACATTTTCTGTAGATTTCCTGGAATTTATATTGAAAAGACGATATCTGGAGAATTTAAAGATATCTGCGAACAAATTCATATAATGATGAAAAAAATAATTGATTTATTGAGAAAATTTCAATTGAGAAATATGTTTCTAAACATCTACTTAGTTTACTGTAGAACTTTTTTCACATTTTTTGTCGTCGTTATTTAATAATGAAAAAAAAAATCGCATAACGTAACCACCCATACATATGATTTTGAACGTCGACTTTGCGCTCAAACTCAGTAATTATACATCAGTAAAACGAATTTTATATGTCTCAAATGAATCCTAAAAAAATCTCTGCAATACTACATTCTCAGTTCAACTACCATATATTGCCAGTCACTCACTTTAAGTTAAAAACATACAGTTGAATTTTGGATTTTTTTCATAATTAACTAAAACTTTACCTTTTTTGTCGAGATCAGTATTAGTAGCTTCTGCAACAGCTAGACTAGCGATGGCGTTTGTCAAGTCTTTCATGGAGTCCAAGTTAGTTCCAGAAATTGCTAAAAACTTGTTCTTTAATATTTTTTAAGATTGAGCATTTATTTTATTTTTTTCAGCATTCAACAAATAAAATTGTACTGACGTTTCACATTATAAACGCCTTTTGGTACCGATTAAATTTTTCTCGGGTGTTATTTTAAAGTTCAAAATATAAAATATCATATTATGAAAAGTTAGATTGTTTACAAGCCTGATATTGAGAGAACTGCTGTATCATTAAACATCCAGAATCTTGAACTGTCCCTGTACCAGCTCTTAAACAGAATCATAAATATTAATATGTTATATTTATATTTTTTTACAGATTTGTGTTCAGTTTTATCCAAGAATTTTTGTAAACACTAGCCTTAGAGGGCGCTTCGCGCCCATCTTCTAAATTAATTGTGAACATGTTCTCTTTATGTACATCATTCATAAACCTTCCCTGTGGTCACGTTAGGTCCCAAAAAAAATTTGGGCCCGATCGGTTCAGCCGTTTTGACGTTTATTGGATACAAACAGACAGACAAACAAACAGACAGACAAGCCAAATTTATATATAGATGTATTTAAATTGTCGTATGTTTTTAAATGTGATCAAACTAATTAAATCTGTGCTTTGAAGATAACAGAGTCTGAATTTCCAGGGTCAAAGATCACTGACAAACAATCAAATTCAGAGTGTGCAGTTTTTGCCAAAAGCTCTGATTTTCAAATCATTAAATCTTTGCAACCCAATGTCGTAGACCTTAAATATTTCAATCTATGAATTCTGTTGAATAAAGTAGTCTAAGTTTGAAATATCAAAGGTTTACAGTTAACACCATCAGGTTGCAGAGATATTGAGATTAGACAATTTAAGTTTGTGGCCAAAAACTCAATTCCTTTCCCCATTTATAGTAAAGTTTTTAGTCGGCGCTTTTATCAATACAATGAAGACGACTTTTCGATTTAAGTTTTCATTTCCAACTAACTTTTTCCAAATTACAAGTTTACAAGTAAAGAAAGGGAATCTTTTAATTGACAGCTTCTCTTTTTTCCGTTTTACATGTATCCTAGCTGTATAAATGCTTTTTAGAAATCAAAATTGAAATTTAAAGTCGTCTTCATTGTATTGATATATACGACGACGACTTTATATATAAATATATATTTTTTTAGATACAAAGGCAATATTGGTCCAAAATAAGATTGACTAAGCAATTTATCAATTTTTATGTATTTATTATCAAATACGATTTTTTAAAACTTACTTCTTTGTATGAGTTTAATTGTTGAAATGGGAGAATTGATAGATCCTGTAGAAGAACAGTAGAGCTGCGAATCAACTCAGCAGAACTAAACAATAACTCAATCTATTAGAATATGATATTTGGTCTATATGCATTTACTTAATGACTAATCATGACAATTGCTCTGTATTCTAGCCGCACAACTGCTTCTGATTGTAAGAAGGAATGGATCGTTTAAGCTTTTTTTGAAAAATGATTATCTTGTTTTAAAAATGACGAGGAAAAACAGGTCGTTTTTAAAAACGATCGTTTTTGGAAAAGATAATAAAGACTAAGAAAATAGGTCGTTTTATAGTCTTATATCGTCGTTTCGTTAACAAATGTATGTCGTTTTTAATTTTGACGATCGCAAACGATCGTTAACCACGACCCTTTGTTAAATATCGTTAAAGACGACCAATCATTAACGATTGTTAACAACGTTTTTTCGGAAAACCCTTACCTTAGAAAAAAATTAGATCAGAAAACATTCAGGTTATTTCTCTCGATTAAAAAAAACATTGAAGACAACATTCACTAACTTATATCTTCTTGAAAAAAATTGAAATAATTGTTACGATACGATCGTTTTTAGAAAAAAAAACGAAAAAACGATAGCTTTTTTATAGTTTTTGAAAACGATTATTAACCCTAATTGTAGTCATGACTTTTCAAAATTGGTTGTAGAAGATTGTATTGTAAAACTTGGATGAATGTCAAACTATAGTTTTACATAAAAGTTTTCAGATGATATTTATTGCAAATGGCAATAGAGTAAATGGTAAAAGAGCAGAGCCCGTGATTTAAAAAATTCGGGGAAATACGGCTTGGTTCTTAGCTGTCATTCGACCTTATTTACTGCTTGAGTTTTCGGATTCAAGCTGCATCTTATTTTCCACCGAGTTGAATTGGTAGGAATTGGCGCAATCCCAGTTTTTATGAGAACAAGACGCAACATTGAGCCTTATTCTCCACTAAAACCAATCAAGGTCGGTTTTATTTTCATTGAGCACAAGTTGTCGTTAGAGTTGGGTCAAAGATTGGGTCTTAAAGTCTGGTTTAAGGAATTACGACTCGAGCCGAAGCTTTTAAAACGTGGGCTCAGATGTTTTAGTACCATGATATACGGAGAACATCAAAGTAAATCATAAGCGTAGTACTTACCTTAAATTATCAAAAAGGTTAAAAGATTCTGTGTCCAATATAGTTCCACGATCATATATAATAAATGACCTTAGTCCAGATCTGAACATAACAAAATACCTCTATATAGTCAAGAATGGGTGTCAAAACATATTTTGTCAAATAAATGAAATAAATCTTTTATTGCTTTTCTGTAGATGTAAATACTGTTATGAAATAAAAAAGAGCTTTCAGGCAACCAATCAGCATGCATCAAGACATTAACTTGCATGCTTAAAGACTTAAATGGACTGTAAGCGTAATTTCAAGTAACCCACCGGCTTCCAAGCACAGTTTATTTGATATAAATGTCGTTTCAACTACTTTTAAAAGTTTTTCTAATATTTTTATATGTTTTCCTCCAGTAGAAATGCGCAAGTAACTCTTGCAGAGAAACCACAAATGAAAACAATCAGTTTTCAAAGTTGTAAACGTTATTGTCTTATTCATACTTAATCAGACAAAGATTATTAATTTACTGTTGTAATCTTTGTAATCATTGTAATCTTTGCATGGAGGTTCACTTAAAATCATGTTTACACATCCCCTGTAATATGTACATTTGTAGAGTTCAATTATTTGTTTAAGGCTCAGTATGCAGTCATTCACACTTACCCATTTCTTACTGTGAGGGATGTGTTGTGTTTAATTACATCTTCTATCTGAGAACTTAAAAGAGACTCAAGATGAATAACAACCTAAAGTAATGAAAATGAAAAAACTTAAACAATAAAACCAATAATATTGTAATGTAAACAATATTTTGGACAAAAATATTTACTAAAAAGTGAAATTTTCTTAGTCAAATTTTGGCAAAAATATTCTCTAACTTCATAAAAGGAGTAAAAAGTTTAAATCAAAAGAAGGTCAATAATTACTGAATTTTTCTTTAAGTTGCTGACAACATTGAAAGATGAAAATCATTTTTAATGATGGGTTCTTTCCGATTTTGACAGATTCTAGGGGACTTGTGGTGCCATGTCAGGTGAAATTTTTGGAATATTTCTTTGATTTAAAAAATTAGAGCGTTTTATTTTAAATTCAATAAGTTTACCTTGATATTTTTTATTCTAAGCTGATTCAGAAACCCGGACACAAAATATTTACTTCCCTAACAAATATTCAATTTTTAGTCAAAACAAACCTTTAAGTATTTATTTAGATTTTATATTTGATAATACCAATTATTGTTGCCATCACATTTAAAATTAATGTTATTTTTTTTTAACTTTCATAGTTTTAATAAATAATACTTTCAAATTTGATAAAACTTTCCCATGTCCAGCCCAACATTTTCAAACAGAATTCTCCTTACCTCAAATCTGTCCAATGATTTATCATAAGCTACAAATATAATGGAGTTTTTTCGATCAATCTCTTTCATCCTAGACACGTGTTATTACCAAGTTAAATTTGAATTTGTGGCAAAGACTCAATTTCTTAAGAAATGGATCTTCGAACTATTAACTCTGTTTCTATGATATAGGGGTTAGAACATTTGTGTTTGTGAGAAAGGCTCATTTCCTTTGTATTGGGGGTGTAAAATTAAATTGCGTATTTTTGTGGTGTTCATGTTAAAAGTACTTTTTTGTTTGTTTACTTTAAACTGAACGCTGTCCTAGGCTCTTATCTATAAACCTAAATGAGAAATGAAAAAATTTAAGATAAAGATAAAAAACAACCGTAATCAAAACTCTGAGGGCATCTGAATTAAATAACATTTTAATGCTTTTTCTTAAAAAAGTGATAATTTCTAAGAAGTGGATTTCTAGCCTGTATTATATTGGCTTTCTAACCTGTAATACAGCAATTTTCTAACCTTTTATACTGTATCTTTCTAACCTGTTATATAGTATCTTTCTAACCTGTTATACAGTGGCTTTCTATCCTGTAATACAGCAATTTTCTAACCTTTTACGCTGTATCTTTCTAACCTGTTATACTGTGGCTTTCTAACCGGTAATACTGTGGCTTTCTAACCTGTAATACAGCAATTTTCTAACCTTTTATACTGTGGCTTTCTTACCGGTAATACTGTGGCTTTCTAACCTGTAATACAGCAATTTTTTAACCTTTTATACTGTATCTTTCTAACCTGTTATACAGTGGCTTTCTAACCTGTAATACAGCAATTTTCTAACCTTTCATACTGTATCTTTCTAACCTGTTATACAGTAGCTTTCTAACCTGTTATACAGTGGCTTTCTAACCTGTTATACTGTGGATTTCTAACCTGTAATACATTGGTTTTCTAACCTGTAATACAGCAATTTTCTAACCTGTTATACAGTAGCTTTCTAACCTGTTATACAATGGCTTTCTAACCAGTTATACAGTGGTTTTCTTACTTGTAATACAGCAGATTTCTAACATGTAATACAATGGCTTTCTAACCTGTTATACAGTAGCTTTCTAACCTGTTATACAGCTGCTTTCTAAGCTGTAAAACATTGGATTTCTAAACTGTTATACAGTGGCTTTCTAACCTGCTATACAATGGCTTTCTAACCTATTGTACAGTAGCTTTCTAACCTGTTATACAGTTGCTTTCTAACCTGTAAAACAGTGGATTTATAAACTGTTATGCAGTGGCTTTCTAACCTGTTATACAATGGCTTTCTAACCTGTTGTACAGTAGCTTTCTAACCTGTCATACAGTGGCTTTCTAAACTGTGATACAGTGGTTTTCTAACCTGTTATTCAGTGGATTTCTAAACTGTAATACTGTGGTTTTCTAACCTTTTATAAATTGACATTCTATATTGTAAGACATTGGCATTCTAACCTGTTAAACAGTGGCTTTTCAACCTGTAATACAGTAGCTTTCTAGCATGTGATACAGTGGCTTTCTAACTTGTTAAACAGTAGCTTTCTAAACTGTACTAAAGTGGTTTTCTAACCCAGTATACAGTTGCTTTCTAACTTGTATTACAGTGGTTTTCTAACCTGCAATTCAGTGGCTTTCTAACCTATAATACAGTGGTTTTCAAGCCAATAATACAGTGACTTTCTAAACATAATAGAGTGGCTTTCTAAACATAATGAAGTAGCTTTCTATCCTATTATAACGTGGCATTCTAACTTATAATTCAGTGGGGTTCTAACCTGTTTGTAATTACACGTGCAGTTTCCAGCATCAGAGAAAGCCCACTCCGATCCTGAACCTTTGTTAAAGGCTGTCTTAATTCGACTTTTGAATTTGAAGATTTCTATGTAGGTAAAAAAATAATAAAGCTTGCGTTTTATAAGTTGATTTATGAAGTTATTTTTTACAAAAAAATAGACCTGATCCCAGTAGCATGAAACAATCATAATCTAAAAAATAATCATTATTATTATAATTTTTGGAATTGAAAATTCTATTGTTTTATTACGTACATTTTGTTTTGACCTGTTTGAGTGTGAGTTTGACATGAGTTTTAAGATAAAGTAAAAAAAAATAAACTTCCTAGCTCAGACCTTTTATAAAAATATATTTATTTTTAATTTATTTTCTGTTGACTTTTAAACTGCGTTAACAATTTTTTTAGATAAGGAACTTGTCAATAACAATGAGTTTACCAATGTTAAGCTTCTTTCTGAGATAAGATATTTTTCCAAAAAGTAAAATTTTTAGTACAGGGCTACACAAAAAGGATAAGACTTTATAGATGATTGTAAAGAATTTGTTTAGTCTGTTTCTTGCATTCAGGGTGTCTTGCAGACCAAAACTGGGATATTTATGTGCTTGATTATTTAGTAAACCTTCAAAATACTTAGTTAAATGCAAAAACCAAAATTCAAGCTTCAAATGTCATATTTTTAGAGTGTTGGTCGTCTTTACAGTCTCATCACTTGTGGGTAACCCTGTATAAAATCTTTTATCCACCTGATCTATGTTGGAACCCCATTTAGGACCTGGCAGCACACCAATTAGATTTACACCCTCCTTTATAAAAATTCATTTTTAATCAGTAATCAACATAAAAACGCTCTTCGTTGTTTTTAATATTTATAATATGTAAGGTTTTTAATCGTTTTTTAAAGCGATGGAAAAAACTATTGTTTTCGTTTCATTTAATTTTTTTTTCTAAAAACGATCGTATTGCTTTTGGAAATTATATTTTTAGAAAGATAAGGTTATAAATGTTGTTTTAAATGGTTTTTTTTATCGAAACAAATAACCTGAATGTTTTCTGACCTCGGATTTTCCGAACAAAAAATGCATTTTCTCTTTAAAATTTCGTTAAAGATCGTTAACGAAGCGTCGTCGTTATCGGTCATTAAGGAAGGGTCGTTTTAAAAAAAGACCGTTTAAAAAAAAAAACTACCGTTTTTCAAAACGATATTTTTTAAAACAATCGTTTTTGAAAACTACTGTTTTTAAAAAACGACATTTTAAAAAGAAATTATCGTTTTTTAAAACGATCGTTTTGTTTTCATTTTTTCTTTGTTGTTTTCAAACCAAAAAGATCGTTTTTTAAAAAGTGGAAACGATCCATCCCGACTTAATCAGTCTTTACCGCATTTTATTGTATATATTTATATAAATGGTTGGTATAGCTGGCCAAGCGTCTGCACCAAATCGGCTGACATTTTAAGAAAGAACCAACATAAGGTCCGGTATGAAAAGCCTTTTTTTCAAAAATAAAGTGGAAATATAATTCAAATAGATTAACAAAATTTGCTTAGATCAACAATTACATGTCTTGTCATTTTCAACAACAGATACAAGACAAATTAAAAATATAAAATCAAGGTTGCAGTGTGTATCAAAGAATTCCTTAAAAGAGAAAACAAAATATCATATTGATAAACACTATCAATCAATCAATATAAAGAGGAATATGAAATTGAAAACTGAGAATAATGAATTGTGTGTCTAGATTTTTCTATAAAAATTGGATATGAGATTGGTCTGTACCAAATCAAAAATATCAACAAAATATCGTGGGTGTGCTTCAATCAATTTTAGCCTTCAGTAAGGAGCATATGTGAGTTGGAAAAGCCAAAAAATTTGAGCTTTCTAGCTCAAATACTTTTCGAGTTCTCGCAACAACTAAAACTATAAGGGGGGGGGGGGTCATATTGACACCTCCCCACCCCCTTCAGTCGGAATATATAATGATTATAATGTTTGTAACTCTTTTAACAATATTAACTTAACCCCGCATCTCAGATAAAAACTGTTTTGTCCCTGGATGGTGTTGAGAAATTAAATTTAGAGGTTCCTGGCTTATTAAACTGTCATTTACCCTTTATTTGTTGTACGTACTTAAATTTACCTTTGATCCATTGAACTTAAAATACCTTTGATCCTTTGTACTTTAATTTACCTTTGATCCATTGTACTTTAATATACATTTGATCCGTTGTATTTTAATATACATTTGATCCGTTGTATTTTAATATACCTTTGAATCGTTGTATTTTAATATACCTTTGATCCGTTGTTCTTCAATTACCCTTTGATCTGTTGTACTCGAATTTACCTTTAATTCGTTGTACTTTAATTTAACTTTGATCCGTTGTACTTTAATCTAACTTTGATCCGTTGTAATTAAATTTACCTTTGATCCGTTGTACTTAAATTTATCTATGATCCATTTAACTTGAGTTTACCTTTGATCCGTTGTACTTTAATTTACCTTATATTTGTTGTACTTTAATTCAGCTTTGAACTGTTGTACTTAATATACCTTAGATTCGCTGTACTTGAATTTACCTTTGAAGCATTGTACTTGAATTTACCTTTGAACCGTTGTCCTTGAATTTACCTTTGAATCGTTGTACTTGAATTTACCTTTGAACCGTTGTACTTGAATTTATACCTTTGGACCGTTGTCCTTGAATTTACCAATGATCCATTGTACTTGAATTTACCTTTGAACCGTTGTCCTTGAATTTACCTTTGAACCGTTGTCCTTGAATTTACCTTTGAACCGTTGTCCTTGAATTTACCTTTGAACCGTTGAACTTGAATTAACCTTTGGACCGTTGTCCTTGAATTTACCAATCTTGAATTTACCTTTGAACCGTTGTCCTTGAATTTACCTTTGAACCGTTGTCCTTGAATTTACCTTTGAACCGTTGTCCTTGAATTTACCTTTGAACCGTTGTACTTGAATTTACCTTTGAACCGTTGTACTTGAATTTCTGTAAAGTAACTAGAAGACCAAGTCTGCCTAGCCATCTGTATATATAAGACCCCACCTAGACATTTTTAAAATTACAAGAAATATTTGTTTACTTTTTTATAAACCTTTAAGCCACACGTCACAGCTAATTTAACATTTTACAGCTTGAAAAACATTGTATAGAACTGAAATGAAGATGTGAATAAGCGTGATAGAGTGGACGTCTATTTCATAACTTCAATGTCAAATCTACAAAGTTTTTTAAAACAAAAGTGTCGAAAAACAAAAGTGACCCGCTGCATTAGATTTGTATTTCCCTGTTCTTTTGTAGGAGTTTTATCCTCTTTAATTTCTTCTTCTTGGTTTTGACGATGATCTTGTCTAGACTGCTCTTGAAGAAGATCTACAAGTTTCTCAATGTTTCCCTCAGAAGCTTCGGTAGTCGTATCAATCTTAAACATTTAATCTCAGGTGTGAATTATTTAAATGTTCAAAACATACCTATATAAATAAATCTATGGTTTAAACGGGTTAAACTGCTGAATACAAACCGTTTACTTTACGTTAATTAAATGGTTAATGAACGGAGCGAAAAACTTATTATTGTCTACGATAGGTAATTGTTGACAAAGTAATTGAAAGACTTTTTAAAAATATATTCTTTTTTCGTTGCAAGAAATGTTAGTTAGTGAGTAAAAATCTCTTAACCTGTGCAATTGGATCTTTTCTGTAGAAATCCACATGGATAGGATTTGTCGAGTTGTAGCAGGGCTCACAGTTCGTCAATAACATATTCCTGTATTCAACATTGTATTTTAAAGGGTTTGTACACACAATTTCAAGTGAGCCTCCATTTAAAGAGTTATATCATGGCCGATTCGTGACAATACTCTTTTCACTTTAATTAGTAACAATAAGTAGTCTAAAAACCTGATAAAATCTGACAAATTCCTTTATTGTCTCTACAGCAAGTCACTTATATAAGAACCCATAATCATTTCTCCACTAGAAATATAAGAATATCTCATTCATAAATTCTCGATCCAGACAAAGGTTTAAAATTTTCGGACTAGAAAATGCTATATTTTGATACATGGTTCATTCATAATAAAACGTACCTTATATCACTTTTTATGATATTTTTAAAAAGATTTTTCAATGTGTATGGAAATCGAACGTTCGCACTTGTGTAAAACTAGTTTTTATAATTTAAAACCAAAAAAATCTTTAATTAATAGTAGAGCTGGGCAAAATTCTGTTTAAGGTAATAATTTATTTATTGAGTAGCGTTTCCTATAAATAGCGGTATCCTTAGATATTGGCCTGATCACGGATGAATAAAACATTGTAGTTGTTCAAACAGAAAAGTAAGTGTATTTACGCAATTTTTATTTGCGGGTTTAAGCCACAGAGATATTGAAGAGAATTGTCAGAATTTAACATATTTCAATACAGAAAAACGACTGTTGTTACTTAGATAAAGGTTTAATGGGAACATTTATGAATCGGACATGCCAGTTTGTAAAAGGAGAGTCACTTATATTAGGCCCATGTATGCACTTATATTAGGCCCATGTATGCACTTATATTAGGCCCATGTATGTAGTTGTACTTTAATTC